TTTGGTTTCAATTCATTTATTAGTCCTTCAATGTCAGAACAATATATTAATAAAAGCTCATCGTCTTTTGTAAAATATTTCCGAAATTCCTTTTCTCTGTCACGATAAAAGTAAGCTGTGGTGCCTTTAGATAACAAATTTTTCTTTTTTAAAACTGAAGCTAGATATCTAGCTGCATATTCTATTTCTGCATTTTTTTATCTAGCTGATATTCTGCTCCATTTTTGGGTAATTTCAAATCTCTGATGAGGTTGCTAAGCTCTTCTTGCGTAAAGCCTTCTTTAACCTTTTCTTCCTGATAACCATCTGGAATATAAATATCATCATTGTCTTCTACAATATTACTAATCGCATCACTTATATCGGAAAGTACATACTCTAATGGTGAACTGTCGATTTCCATATTTGCAGAAGAAAGAGTTAAATGACTTAAAATTTCGTGTTTTTTCACAGATACTACACATGCGTAAATTATATTCTTTTTATTATTTATTATAGCCTTTTACATTGGTCATGCAAAAGTAGCAATCTTCTCGATTCAATGGTTTTTTCCACAATGTTGGTTTTTTAAACTTCAGGTGTTTATCCTCTTTCGTATCATTCCAACGAGTTAACATTGTGTAGCAGGAACTGCAGATTGTATTTGGAACCCATTTTTTATTCTGATTGACTATCTCAAAATCAAAACAATCTTTGTAAATTTGTTTAATGTTTTAATTAATTAATTTGCGATTTTTCGGGATATAAAATTGTCCGCATACGTAACAAAATACATCTGTGTTGCTGTCACATGTATGTTGTGAGGTTGACACTCCAAAAAGAACTTTTGAAGTGTTTGAAGTTTTTTTATTGTTTTGATTTTTGAAAGCCATGATATTTAGGAAAATTCCCGCACGCTGGGGATCCTGGTCCGATCGCAGGCGAGTGCACCGTCCTAGGGGTGATAACCCTTATACCTCCCTAGGCCTAAGTATGAGAGCTTTCCGACTTTGACGAGGATATTATCAACTCGTAGTCGGACACACTACGGTATCATCCTCACACCCTAACGTCCCCCTAACGTCACACCCTAACATTTCTCTAGAAATGTTCCTAGATGTCGTCTCGATAAATACATTTTAATTTAGGCATTCAGGTTACCAAAAATCTGCATTTCCTGCTGCATAAATGTTTACCAACAAACTTTTCGAAACTTTTAAATTCACCGACTCCCAAAATGCTTGCATATCAAGTCATATTGGACCAGTTGTTAGAAATTTTTAAAGTCTGATTTGAAATTTGTGATCAGCGATCCGAAAAACCAGTGAGTACCCATTTTAAAGCAAAAGAAATCAATTTTCGAAAAAATGACCGCCATATTGAATTTTTAAAATCTGACTGCAAATTTGTAATCAGCGACCCCGAAAACCTCTATACATATACCAAGTAATGTGAAAATCCAACAAAATTTTTTAATTTGTCCGACATATTGGATCCCCCATTTTGAATTTTTAAAAACTGACTGCAGATTCGTAATCAGCGATCTTAAAAACCCCTAAAAAACAAGTTTGAGAAAAATCTAATCAATTTTTAAAAAATTTTGTATTTTACATAAATTACATAAAATCTGACATGTTTTTTGAGGTTAGAAAAAAAATCCTGACGTGATGGAGCAAATCTGACTTTGGATTCGTGTTCAGCGCATCAAAATACATAGGGGTATGGTACTGTGGACTTTCGCGCAGGGTACTTTTCTTTTTTTGTGGGGCTGCACTGAGAGAAGTCCAGGGCGTAATAGTTACCGCTAGACGTCGCTATAAGCTACTGTTCTTGTTGCGTTTGAGATGTTTCGAATCTAGGGCTCAGACCCCTCCCTAGGGGTTTCAAGACCTTGCCGTTGGTGGGAGGTGCACGAGGGGCTTTTACCCAGTGGGAGGCTACTTCTCGATATCTCTCGTGGGGACTGAGGGGGCGAACCCTTCAAAATGGGTCGGCCGCTACAGAAACCGAATCTTCTGTGTTTCGCTGGGCAGTGTCTCAGGGCACGGGGATTTAGAGGGATATCGAGAGAGACGGGATGGACAGAGGCTTAACCGCGGGTCCATTCCGAAGACTTCCTACTGGTGGAAGTCTGACCAAGAAGAAACCCTTCCATGGTTACGTTGGCTGTGCCATGGTGATTGAGGCGCGAGTCTCTGCCACCCAATCCGTGATGAACTCGTGTCCATGGATGAATGATACTAGGGTTAACAAATCCGTCGGGTTCTTCCGTGGGGAGGGGGTTGGACGGGGGACGACCTTCGCTGGGCACAATTAACCGTAAACCGTAAAGCTCGGGAACGGTTGTGTTACAGGAAGGGCCCGTCTTCTGGACGACCTGTCCCCGGGGTGGGGCTTGAATGGAGGTATCTTGAACGAGACTCTGAGATACCAGGCGAACTTTCAGATGTAATTTAGCCTTTTCCTTAAATAGAGGCTTTTTAAGGAATGACCTTTCTTTCCTCTTTTCTCGTGGGACCATAATGGATACTACAGAAACTAATAAAAATAAAACCACACACGTGAGCGTCGAAGAGCCCTTTTGGGGGATCACGATGCTGGCGATCAAGGTGTGGACGCGACAGAGGGGACCGTGAGTCAGTCTTAAATATGGCTGCTTCCGGGATCCACTGTATGCAGATTAACTTGCATCATTGTAAGGGCGCTTCGGCGATTTTAGCCAAGAACTTTGCAAGGATGCAGGCAGCTATAGCCTTTGTTCAAGAACCTTGGGTTTACAAGGGTAAGATTAGAGGTCTAAGTGGCGGTGGGGTGCTAGTCAGTTCACCACAGGAACCAGTTCCAAGGGCTTGTCTGATCTATAAAGGTCTAGATGCTTTCCCTCTATTGGAATTAACTACCAGGGACTTAGTTGTTGTTAAGGCTAAGTACCTAGAAAAGAACGGAAATAAAAGGGAGGTTGTAGTAGCTTCCGCATATTTTCCGGGATCGGGGGATGACCCCGCACCACCTGCAGAGGTGGAGAAGTTGGTAGATTACTGTCAACGGCAAGGTCTCCCATTAATAATAGGTTGTGATGCCAATGCGCACCATGTCGTATGGGGCAGCACTGACATTAACGATAGAGGCAGAAGACTTTTAGATTTTCTGTTAGATACAGATTTAGATATTTTAAATCAGGGTAATGAGCCGACTTTCGTTACTGTTAACAGAAAAGAGGTGTTGGATATTACGATCTGTTCCAAGTCTTTTTGTGATGGCGTGAGGGACTGGAGGGTGTCTGATGAAGATTCCCTCTCGGACCACAGGCTTATTACGTTTGGATTGGAATCGAAGGATCGGGAACAGGAGTGGGGACGTAATCCTAGGAGTACCGACTGGGCTTCATATAGTGAAGACCTCAAGGCCTCCATGGCATGCTTCCCCACTTCCTCTGGAACGATGGAGGAGTTAGAGCTTGCAGCGGAATATCTGCGAGATTCTATTATCTGTTCCTTTGAAAGGAACTGTGTAGTTAAGAAAATGGGCTTCAATGGGGGCGGTAAATGGTGGACCCCCCGTTTGGAGGAACATAGGAAAACTGTAAGAAAGCTTTTTAATAAAGCCAAGAAACGTAGGCATCAGCGAGCATGGGATGAATATCATACCGCTCGCGATTCTTATAAGAAAGAAGTAGATAGGGCAAGGGGTGTCAGCTGGAGAAGTTTTTGCGAGGGAATCGAGAGGGTACCAGAAGCTTCAAGACTTCATAAAGTACTAGCTCGAGACCCAATGGCAAAATTAACTACTATTAAGCTGCCTAATGGGCAGTATGCCCAGGATAAAAGGGAGTGTCTAAAGCACCTGATGGGAGTAAACTTCCCGGACTTTAGAGAAGGTTTGGAGAACAGCCAGGGCATAGGACCAGGTAGGAACCGAGGATATCGGGAACACTGGAAACTAGCAGCCAGGGTTGTAACTCCGGAAGGGATTGATTGGGCAATAAGCACTTTCAAACCATTTAAGGCTTCAGGGGGGGACGGTATATATCCGGTTCTTTTGCAAAAGGGATTGGATTGTATTAGAGTACCCCTGTGTAAAATTATGAGAGCATGTATAGCTCTTGGTTATACACCGGAGTCTTGGAAAAAGACGAGGGTTGTGTTTATTCGGAAGGCCGGTCGGTCAAGCTATACTGCGGCGAAGGACTTCAGGCCAATCAGCCTAACTTCCTTTATATTAAAGACGTTAGAGAAACTGGTGGATAAGTTTATTAGACAGGAATGTCTTAGAGATTTTCCCCTACATCAGGGACAGCATGCGTATAGAGCAGGCTTCTCAGTAGAAACAGCCCTCCATTCGGCAGTAGGTAGAATAGAGGGACAAATTAGCAGTGGTGGTTATGCGGTTGGTACCTTTCTTGATATCGAAGGTGCCTTCCCTAACACCTCTAGCAAAACTATCTGCAGGGCAGCCAGAATGCGAGGTGTGCCCGAGCCGCTAGTTAAGTGGATCGACAGCATGCTTCGCGAAAGGGCCCTGGAGGCAGAGTATGGTGAGGCCAAGGTAACCGGCCTTGTCTCAAAAGGGTGCCCACAGGGAGGAGTTCTCTCTCCTTTATTGTGGTGCTTAGTGGCAGATGAGTTAATTAGAAACCTCAATAGCCAGGGATATTATACGCAAAGTTATGCGGATGATTTCCTTATAATTATAAGAGGGGGCACTCAATTGAGACCCTCTTAGAACTTACGGAACGTGCGCTTAAGATTGTCAAGGATTGGTGCAATCTGACTGGACTTTCTGTAAACCCAGAGAAAACGAATATAGTAGTTTTCACAAGAAAATATAAGGTACCGAGTTTGAAGAAACCGATATTTTATGGAAAAGAGATTTCCTTTTCTGAATCGGCTAAGTATCTGGGAGTAATCCTGGATAAAAAGCTGGTTTGGAGGGAACATTTCGAATATCAGTATAGCAGGTTTTGTACCGCGTTTTGGGCGTGTAGAAGGGCGATAGGGTCATCATGGGGACTAAGGCCTAATATGGTCAACTGGCTCTATCAGATGATCTTAAAACCAAGGTTTCTTCACGCGGTGGTTGTCTGGTGGTCCAGGACTCAACTGATAACGGTTAAAGAGAAACTGGGCCAACTGCAAGCAATGATTTTCAGGGGTATTACGGGGGCAATGAGGACCACGCCAACAGCTGCGTTGGGATTCATGCTTGCCGAGGCACCTCTGCATATTGCCGCGGTGAAAAAGGCGGCTCTTATTATGAGCAGGTTAACTGCGCAGGGAAGGTGGAAGGTTGGTGGTATACACACCAAGCTTCCACGCTCAATTCTATCAATACCAGAATTAAGTATGGTGCAAGATAGAATGATCAAGAGGGTGAAATTTAAACCCCGCTTTAAGATCATTACACCTTCCAGAATGGACTGGAAGAAAGGTTTTCCACTTGGGGACGAAGTCTGGTATACAGACGGCTCCAAGATGGACTGCGGTGCAGGCTTCGGAATTTATCGGAAAACTGGCTGCATTAAAGTGGCTGAGTCATTAGGACAACATGCCACGGTCTGGCAGGCAGAGGTCTGTGCGATTTTAACTTGCGCCCAAATATCCATTCGAAATGGAACAAAGGGCAAGAGGATTAGTATTTGTGTGGACAGTCAAGCGGCCTTAGGGGCTCTGAAAAATCCCACAATAGAATCAAAACTCGTCTGGGAATGCCGCAGCGTACTAGATGAGTTGGGTTCAACAAATAGACTTTCATTGATTTGGGTACCGGGTCACTCGGGAATCAAGGGTAAGGAAAGAGTAGACGTCTTGGCGAAAACCGGTTCCGAGACGAAATTTATAGGTCCTGAACCAGCAGTGGCAATAATGCCATGCTTGGTTAAGGGAGCCATAGAAAGATGGGGTGAAAAGGAACATGAGAAGTATTGGGCGAACGTTGGGGTGGGAAGGCAAGCGAAAACTCTGTTGGGGTTAGCACTCAACAAGAGGCGAGCGAGCGATCTCCTAAAACTCGATAAGATCAGAGTTAGAACCGTAGTTCGTCTACTTACGGGTCATGGACTATTGAACTACCATCAGCATAAAATAGGCAGACAAGTTTCACCTATGTGCAGACTGTGTGGGGAAAGTAACGAAACTTCAACTCACATATTATCTGAATGCCCAGCGTTAGCTAGGATCAGGCTATGTAGCTGGGGTCAAGCAATTATTGACCCTAAGCAGGTGAGCAACCTATCGATAGTAGAGATACTGGACTTCTGGAGAAGAACAGGACTCTAAGGGGTTGCTATAAACGAGCGAGCTGGAGTCTGGTACAATGGGTTCTATAACCTAGGTGCTTACTTTCCCCTCTTGAGGAAAATCCAGCTCGATCTCGGTATTAGATTAGATTAGATTAGATTAGGGCTCAGACGCCCCGAGTCTGTCAAACATTGTTCCCGCATGTGAGAGAACAACTCGTGACCGAAACTAAAAGTAGTAAGTAATCCCGCTTCGGGACGTTCCACGTTTTTTATCGGGGCTTGAGACGTCCCGATCGAGGGTTCACATAAGAACATTCAAAATTATCACTCAAGCCTCGCACGGGACGTATTAGTTCCCGGACTTCTCTCAGTATGTGTTTTCAAACAAAAAAGTTGAGAAAATGTCATTTTTCACAATTTTTGGTTTTTAAAATAAACTGGGGCTATTAGGAACAGATTTCAACTTTAAAGTCTTGCAACTTTTTTGTGTATTAAAATATTGCTTTAATTTTTTGTTTCTTTTCTTGATCTTGGCAAGCACATTGATGGGTTAAATAATTGCCTTGATCAAAGCTGGAATTTTAAACAAAAAAAAGAAAAAGACGTTTTTTTCGAAATTGTAAAATGGGGCTTTTAGGAACAAGGCGGTAAAAACCATTTGAAAACGTATTTTAAATTAAAGAAGTTATTTTTTATTGCTCGAAAGCAAACACAGAATATAAAACAAATGTAAAAACAAAACTAAAAGAGCGAATGTGTGTTTTAAACGTTGCTGGTATCATAGTAGAGGTCGATGATGGAATCACTAGTCGGTTTTGCGACTTGTCCGTACCAACACTCTTTTACAATTTTGAACCATCTTTGAACACTAAAAACCAAATTAGGTGTTAAAAAACAAAACAAATTACGAAAAACTTACGTTTTGGCAACACACTTTAACAATTCGGAAGAAATAATTATGTTCCTTATATACCCGCCGTTTGTGAATTTTGGTTTTTGTTTCTAAAATCTTACTGTAAATACAAAATAAACGTATTTATTACTTAGTGAACTCAATAAAGTATACTATCAGAAATTCCATTAATAAAAAACAATCACTTTGAGATGTTAAAAATGAAACAACTTAAATCAGCAATTAAATGTTTTCCACGTTTGAAACTGCACTAAAACACATTAAGTCACTTACAAGCTACTATTGTTCACAAAATATTTAATAATCACAATTATTTCATTGAAAAGTGTTGCCAGTTACTCAATTTATCGATAAACGGCGCCGATAAATCAACTCCACCCGAAAACAGAATTTTGTTCCTAATAGCCTCGGTGTTCCTAATAGCAGGCTTCGCACTCTTCTACTAAAAGCTACTATTTGCTACTTTTTTGAGCCTAATGCTACTAAAAGCTACTTTTCTGAACAAAAAGTCAAATTTAGATTTTTAGTTTTCACTTGTCAATTTTTTTTTTGCTTAGGGACTTTTGGGAAATCTGCCTACAGCTATTTTGGATTCCGCACTCCAAGGTTATGTGGGGTCGGTACAATGAAACAAAAAAAAAGAATTATAAAAAAGGTAAATAAATATTATAATAATTTTAATAAACTGACGACCTACTGCCAGCCCGATCCACTAAAACCCGTAACCCTTCTTTTGGAGCCCTATACCCACCCTCGAAACTGTCGTAAGACTTTAGCCTTCGAGGGCTTCACTTTTTTAGTTAAAAACAGTGTTAAAATCTAAAATCGTTAATGAAAAACGACAGTCAATAAGATATTAGGAAATAATTTTACCGACATTTACTCTATCAATAGTGACGAATTATAAATTGTGTTTAGATTTTTTTGCAAGTGATATAACCTTTAAATTCCCTGTTTTTCCCGGCTTTGTCCTAATTTTTCCCGGTTTTATGTTCTCATCAAATTTAAATTTATTTGATTGTGGATGTTAATTTTGTTTGGATATTTAAAAAGTAGTTATGTTGTAAATTTTGTTTATTATAAATCCATAATTTATTATACTCCCAGCTGAATACTCAAGCTTTCGCCCTTCAACGATGGGCCTCTTCAGGAGTTAAGTACTGCAAAAAATTCATTTCATTCACAGTAATATTTTTAAATAGAATAAATCAAAAATATTATAAAAAAATAGAAAAAAGAAAACAAATTACACATAACCTCAAAAACTTACCAAGCAGATATCAACCACTAAACACAATCATCGGACAGTTTTATTATAAAGACTGAAATTTTTTTTACATTTTATTAAATTTTTGAAAAAATAAAATAATTTTACGATGCAACTGGATTTCAAACATGTCACACTTATTGAAAAAACCTCCAGCAATAACAATAACATTATTCAAATTTAGAAAACACATTGTAAGTTCAGTAATGATATACGTGATATCTATGTTACCGACATTACCTGAAGGCGCTAAAAACCGAGAAAATTAAAAACTATATAAGATAATGAATCATAAACTATCAAGAACTATCGCCCATCGTTGAAGGGCGAAAGCTTGAGTATTCAGCTGAAAGTATAATAAATTATGGATTTATAATAAACAAAATTTACAACATAATTATTAAATTTATTTGATTTTGAACATAAATAAATCTACAAATGGTTTCAAAAATTTGTATTAGATTTTTTATGAATAGTTAAATTATTTTGACGAGTTTCTTTAAATTTTTTGCAAATAATGTTTTTTTATTTTATTAATAATTTGAATTAAAAATTTGAAAAATAATTGAATTATACAAAGAATTTTTTCAATTTTTCAAAAAAAATCATGTCTCTTCATAATTATAATTGAAAATTTGATTAATTCAATTTCATTAAAATTTTTGATAATAATTGAATTGTAGAGAACAATTTAATTATTTATAAAGATATTTGAAATTTCGAGGAGAATTTCAAAAAAATTTTAAACATAATTGAATTTCTGCGGAGAATTTTATTACTTTTGAAAATAATTGAATTGTTTTTTTTTTAATTTTATGGAAATTTATGATAATAATTGAATTCCTGTGAAGAATATTTTTCAAAAATAATATTCAAAAGAATTTAGTAAATCTGAAAAATTTTGCTATTTATGAAAATAGTTAAAAAAATTCGACGCCTCCCGTTCATAAAGTGCTAACATAAATGTCAGAGCAAGATAATTCTAATTGAAAAACAAGTGCAATATAAAGTTAACAAAAAAAATTGTGCAAGATAATTCTATTTCAATATTCCGTGCAAGACAATTGTAATTCAAATTTGCGTGCAATATAATAACACGTGAAGTTGCGGACAATATAATTCTATCTAAAATATTAATGCAAGACAATTCTAACTTCTGACACAACGTAAAACAATGCCCACTCAACCTCAAAATAATAAAAACGTTCAAAAATACTCAAAATTTATGGTTTTGATATTAACGGTTGTGTGAAATATAGTAAAGCAAATTTTTGTTAAACATTAGAATCATAATAGCATTTATATGAGATTTATATAATAATAGATTGTGGAATTAATTTACTTTAATTTTTTGAAAGATTAAATTATTGTTAAGTAGAGGATAAAAATATTTATAAATAAATATATTATTTATAAATAAAAATAAAAAAATTCTATTTCTGTTTACTTTGACTGAATCTCTGATCTAAAAATTCCAATATTTATTTATGCAAACAATTAACTTAGAGGCGCATGAAAAGTCTCCAATTTTTATTTTCCGAATCTTTATTTTATCGAAATTCTTTTTATCTAATAAGAATTAATTATAATTTCTTTTAATCGAAAGAATAATTGTCAAAAACATGATTTTTTTGAATGACTAATCAACAGAATGTTTAATACTGCGAAAGAAAATTTTTTATAATCTTCAAATAACTGAATTATCATTTCTAAAAATTATTATTTTTTATACTTCTTATTTACACTAATATTTTTATTTTCGAAATGTCAATTTTGATAAATATTATTTTATAGATTTGTTAATAATTATAATAATTATATTCCCGAATTATTATTCGATATAATTCAAATATTACCGAATTACCAATATTCTTAAAAAATTTATTGTTCCTAATAATATTTTTTTGTAATGTGTAAATTTTCTATATTTTAAAGTTTCTAAATTTAATTTTTTCGAAATATCATTTGTTATAAAACTTTTTTCTTATAAATGTTTTTTAAAATAATTTTAACTTTTTCGAATTAACATTACTCATAATTTTCTTTACTTCTAATCATTCTTCTTTATAATTACTATATTTTCTTACATCCCAGTGGGCACAGGGACGTCTAAAAGACGTCTTAAAGACGTCCCTTTTTGTCCGCGGACGATTCGGGGACAATGATGGCAATGTCTCTGAGTCATCAAAAAGACAACTAAAAGACGTCTAAAAGACGTCTAAAAGACGTTCTATGTCTGGTCCAAAAGACGTCCAAAAGACATAAGAAAGGACGTCTAAAAGACGTCTTTTGGACGTCTAAAAGACATAAAAGGGATGTCTAAAAGACGTCTTTAAGACGTCTTTTGGACGTCCTTTTTACATTCCTTCAGATCTTAAATAAACATTTCTTTTATAACATTTTCTAAGTTGAAATTCAGTAATATTGTATTAAATTTATTTTAAGTTTAATTTTATTTTTTCTAAAATGTGGAGAAATAATGAAAAAATTCCTACGAAGCTGGGATCGAACTCGGATACCTTGGGCTTGAAACACTGCGTTTTAAGCATGTCAGCCGTTCAAGACATATATGAACCTCTACAAAGTTAACGATCTCACTTGTCAATGAAATGAATTTAACTTAGAAAAATTCCAATAAATTTCACATTCAAAAATTTCTAAGTCCAAGTTGAACTTAGAAAATAATATTTTCAATTTATGAAAATTTTTCTATTTTCAAATGTTGAATGAAAAAGACGTCTTTTAGACACCTTAAAGACATCTAATGGCCAAGACATAGAACATGAATAGGACGTCTTTAGGACGTCTTAAAGACGTCTTTTTGTACAAGTCCAAAAGACGTCCGCAAAAAGACATC